GCCTGCCTTGCCTGCGGTTGCCGTACCTTCCTTCCCTTGCCTAGGTAGGTACCTGCCTTACCAGCCCAGCTGTTCCTTCATTAGCACTACCTAAGCCTGCGCCTGCACCCTGGATCGTTACCTTAGGCCTCCCCCTAATCCCTCCCACCCGCATCTTTGTCTCCCTCTCCGGCGCCGCTGCTGTTGCTGCTGCTGCTGCTGTCGCTGACTGCTGGCACTTCCATCGTACTAGCACTGGCCACTGCTGCTCCCGCCGCCGCCTCGCTCTCACTCACAATCCTTCTCTCGCTCTCTGTCTCTGCTCTGCTCTGCTGGTCTCTCTCTGGCCCCCGTCCCATCTGCTCTGCCTTCTTTTCCCTCCAGTCCCTCCCCCCCCCCCCCCCCTTCCCCAACACACAAGCCTGCCTGTTGTGCCTGCGCCTGCCCTGCTGCACTGCTTGCACGTCGTCGTCAAGTGAACTCCACCCGTTACTACCACGCCTTACCTTACTTCTACCCATCCCATTCTCTTCCACCTTCAGATTCCCCCTTCCGACGCAGCTCTTCCTTCTCCATCTTCTCCGCCTCCAACTCAATCCGACCTCCAACGTCCACTCTCTCACATATAAACAACAGACATCATGGCTGAGATCCGCCGAAAGCTCGTCATCGTCGGCGACGGTGCCTGCGGTAAAACCTGCTTGTTGATGTGAGTGTCCTTCCCTCCAGCCTCTGTCTCTCCCTCTCGCCGCCCTTCGCGAGGCCCCAGCGAGCATCATCAATCATCGTCGCATCGCCGACGGGAAACCCCAAAACGATGCACCTCTCCTTTTTGCATCCACTCTGGTCATCATCGCGCTGACATCAAGTAGTGTCTTCTCTAAGGGCACCTTCCCCGAGGTAAGATCATCTCCTCACGACAGCCGACGCGGCTTCCGCCTCCTGTTTCCCCGACAAGACCTTGCCGAGATGCAGCGTCGTTCCATCACCGCTTCAACCAGCACGACTTCGCCAAGCGATGCAGCACCCGCCTTTCATCAATCCATTTCCGATCCCGAAATTTTCTGACAACTAATTCAGGTCTACGTCCCCACCGTCTTCGAGAACTACGTCGCCGATGTCGAGGTTGATGGCAAGCACGTTGAGCTGGCCCTTTGGGATACGGCTGGCCAGGAGGATTACGATCGTCTTCGCCCCCTTTCTTACCCCGACTCCCACGTCATTTTGATTTGCTTCGCCGTCGACTCTCCCGACTCCCTGGACAACGTTCAGGAGAAGGTACGATTTTTTTACCCCTTGTCTACCAATACACGGGTCGCGTCCCGATAAGCAATTATCGCTAACACGTGCTCCTCTTCCTGTAGTGGATCTCCGAGGTTCTGCATTTCTGCCAGGGCCTTCCTATCATTCTCGTCGGCTGCAAGAAGGATCTCCGCTACGACTCCAAGACGATTGAAGAGCTGCGCAAGACCAGCCAAAAGCCCGTCTCCCCTGAGGAGGTAAGCTTATCCGCCCGTTCAGTTCGCCTCAGGCATCTCTACGCCGGCCAACTCCCAATATATCCATCGAAACATGCTAATCATCTCTATAGGGCGAGGAGGTCCGCAAGAAGATTGGCGCCTACAAGTACCTCGAGTGCTCGGCCAAGACGAACGAGGGTGTCCGCGAGGTGTTCGAGCACGCTACCCGCGCTGCTCTGCTTTCCCGCAGCCGGAGCAGCGGCAAGAAGCACAAGTGCATGGTTCTCTAAATACCCCTCCGGGCGAACATCCCAAAACCCTTTCTCCCTCTTCGACCTCACCCCCATTTGTAATCATCAAGTTCCCGGTCACCATTGTCTTTTCCCAATTCTTCGGATGAGAAAGGGTTTGTGGTGGCGGTCTGGAAGGCGGGGGCAATATCTGCCTGCATAGGTTCTCGGAATTTGGAGTTTTGCTCAATCATTGTGTCTCATAACAAACCTGGCACATTGGTCGGCGTGTCACCGTGTCTGGTTCTTCGGGGTTCTTTGACTGAATCTATTTTCTTTCCCTGCCGAACGGTGACTGGGAGAAGCAACAGCTAGCCATGACTCCGATAAGAAACTGCGAGGGAGGCCGAGTTCAACCGCGGGTTGGCTCTTCTCTCTTTGGTCAATGGGGAGGAAAGGGCCCAGTGGCTGGCGTGACCGCCGGCTGCCAGGTGACGATATGAACAGTGAGTCGTTTGGTGACTTTGGGAACGGCGGAATGGCAATGGTTGATTTTTAAGCTGTGGGAACGGTGTGTCTTAGCCGAAGTGTCGCGACGAAGCCCGGCTACATCATAAATCTTGTCGTGTTTTTTCTCTTTTGACGCCTCGCAGCTTTAGATGGCGGAGATGGACATGTTGTTTTTGGGCCGCTTCTTCTTCTCTCTTGTCGATTCTCTCAATCCAGGTCTTTGATAACTCACTTGTGGTATTTCCTCTTGATGACATGGCGTCCTCCGCTCAACTTCCAGCTCAACCAAGAAGTGATACGTCCGCGTCCACGGCCCAAGATTCCGTCATAGCCGTCATACTCACGCGTCAGGGATCCTCAAAGATGGGATGAAAACACGGGGTTTGTCAGGCACCATCACTTTCAGAACGCGGAGTCGCGATGGACCGTGTAAGGTAACCCAAGCAACACGCAAGATAGTCGCAATTGTTATTGGAAAGGGAGCCCGTTGTTTAGAGTTTGGTGTACTTGATGTCCCGATCTATAACCACATGACAATCGTCGTTCTAAAGATAGGGCAGCGAGTGCCAGTAGAGGAAAGTAAAGACTTGGGCCTTTCTTGGGGTAGCCGTGGTTGCAAGGTTAGACGGCGGTGTCACGTTGATTACGATGCCCCGCCTCTTGGTAAAGGGGACGGCCCTGTTCCGTGAGCAGCAAGCAGCAAACACCATCACACGCGACTTGGGATCTTTTGAGGCCGGACAGATGCCTCATGGATGAGTTTGGGGGTATTTTATTTCATATGGTTTCTCCTCATGTGAGAGATCAAGGTTGCTTGGGAGGACTGGTGAAGGCGACGGACCGTCTTGTGCCTATTGTCTCTATGGCCCTGCCTTTCCCTCTTTCTCGCTCCCTCTGTCTCTCTCTGGTTGGCTGGCTGGCTATTGAGGTGAGAGCTACCGTTGAGATAAGCTAGAGTTTGATCGTTTCAGAAGAGTGAATCCCGTTCCTAATCCGTCGTGCTCTCCTCTGCCCGTGCGTCGAATAACATCAAGTCATTTCTGAAAGAATGTGAGGGGTCGTTCAACTTTACGTTTCTCATCGTCCCATGCGCCTTCGTCCATACGTTCCAGTCATTTCATCTTCAGCTCCTCCCAAGTCGGGTGATGTGGTTGGGTATGTTGATGCTGCTGCCTTAGGCGGGACAGGTCTGAGGAGGGTGAGTTGTTAGTGAGATGGAGTCAGACGGGAGTTGGGAGGAAGGGAGAGCTGAGGGACAGGCTGAACGCGGCTGGATGAGGCAACGTGAGGGAAGGCGTGTGAGAGAGGGGAGGCTTACAGCTCCGCAGGATGAGCAGGTCTTGGAGGACGAGGCAGTTTGGGCGCCGCACTTGGGGCAGGCGGAGGTGTGGGCGTTGGTGAGAGGCTGCATGTTTGCGGTTGTGTAGTGGGTAGGTAGTTTGGATGTCTTTTCTTACGAGACGGACTGGAGTTGTTCTTGGTGGTGTGAGGCGGTTTGAGTGTGGAAGAGAGAGAGAGAGGGTGCGAACTTGGGAATGTGACGGAAAGCGGGGTTCTTTTTATTCTAGTCCTTGACCCCCTCCTCTCCTTCTCGTCTCTCGCCTACTTTTGCTCCATCGCCGCACGAGGCGGCCGTGGGCTGGTTGGCGTTATTTTTTGCATGCCTGTGACCAACGCAGAACTATGGCATAGACTACACACACTACGCGCTGTAGAACTGACCCTCCTTGTGAAAGTGTCTCTCAGAGTGGAGGGGGTGGGTTTGGGGGTGTGGGCAACAGGCAATGGCATGGGAGCATGATGAGCTTACGGACGGGCTGGGTAAGGAACCGTCATGCGAGATGGAGGGCTTCTCGTTGGCTGGAGGGGGGGAACCAGGTGGTTTAGTTGGTTGGGTGGTGGGCTACTGCGTGGCTGCGTGGGAGGTTTGACTTCACGCCCCTCAGTGCGGTTCGACTTTCGCGGCGGTCTTGGGTAGTTGTGGTACGTTCGGGATGGGCCTTGGAGAGGGCAGGCGAGCGAGGGATGAAAGTGTGGTGAGCGGGCGGAACGTGGGTTGGTGTGGGTGTGATGCGGTAGCGTGAAGTTCAGGCGACGGGCAGCAGCAGCACCAGAAAGCAGGCAGATTCAGATGGCGTATGGTTTGCGTCGGACTGGAGGTTGCAGTAAGTGCAGTATCAGAGACAGATGGTCACGTTCTTAGAGGTGAGGTATGGCAAAGTAAGGCGAGCTGTGAAACAGATGGCGACATGTGGACGATAAGGGCCCTTTTTGGCTGGAAAGAGCGCTTTGCAGGATGCGCGGAAACGACGCGCAGAACGCAGAACGATGCGCCGGGAGTGGTTGGTGGAGAGAATGGATATCTTCTGCGGCGAAGAAACCCGCTCCTCGGCGCCGTCTCGCTTTCGGAGGAATAAACTGCTCTTGCTGCTGATTTACCCCCCACTCAGGAAGGTTCATCCTTTGAATTGCGTAGCAGCGACGTCCAGTGCCAAAGTAGCGTGGCCTGCGTAAGCCTTGCAGTAACTGGCTTAAATGGTATCCCGAGGTACCTACCTACCTACCTACCTTACACATTAGGTATTCCTTGTCCTTCGGAAGCGGTCGCCGGCGTGGCCTGTCGGTCGGGTGACTCGGTGCGAAAGATAAGCGATCGTTGCGCGCGGGTCCAGTTGCCTTTCCGCCCGCTACATTCCATCCCATCCCGGAAGGCAGTGCCGTTGACGACACACGGAGCAACGTCGCATGGGCTGGCGATGGGGAGGGTTCATCTACTGACTCATCAATTCTTGTCTTCTTTTGATGAAAATTAAACATCACGATGGAATTGCCCAGGAAAAGGGCGCCGAGGAGGAAGGATGACCGAATCATTCTCCACTTTGTATGTCTGCTCTGAAGTCGTTCACGGACCTCATTTAGTCGAGATACCAGCCATGCCCTATTTCACTGCTAACGCCGGCGCCAGGACTACGACTGCTTTTACGCATCGGTGCTGGAGAACCGGGATCCGAAGCTGAAGGCCCTGCCGCTGGGCGTGAAGCAGAAGAATATTCTCGCGACGTGCAACTACGTCGCCCGCCGGCGGGGCGTGAAGAAGCTCATGTTCATCACGGACGCCAAGAAGATATGTCCTGATCTTGTCATCATCGAGGGCGAAGATCTGACGCCATTCCGAGACATGAGCAAGACGCTCTTTGCGTTCCTCAGAGGCTTCTCGTGGTGTGGCAAGGTGGAGAGGTTGGGGTTTGACGAGGTCTTCATGGGTGGGTGTGTTGCCTCTTTGTCCGGTGCAAGGGTTTTTTTTTGCTGACGACTGCAGATGTTACGGACATCATCCAGTACAACATGTTTTGTCTGAACAGAGTATCTCTGTCGGAGTCGTTCTTCCATTTGTCGAGGCAGGATCCTGAAAAGGGGTTCGTCTGTGACTTGACTAGTGTTGCTGGGTGTGTCTACGGACCTGTCCCCGAGACAGGAGATCTCGACGACCCGAAGTATGTGCGGCTTCTCCTAGCAAGCCATCTGGCTTACTATCTGCGGTTGAAGCTAGAGGAGGATTTTGGTTTCACCGCGTCGGTGGGAGTGTCGACAAATAAGCTGCTGAGCAAGCTGGCGGGAAGCGTTCACAAGCCGCGAAACCAGACGACTTTGATGTCCCTTACGGACTCTGTGATCGAGGATTTCATGGACGCACACTCGGTCAGAAAGGTGCCGGGAATCGGGTTCAGGACGTCGCGGATGCTGGAATCACATTATCTCTCGTCGCAACCTGGTCCGGATGACGCGGACAGGGAGACGTCGCCGTTGAAGGTACGCGACGTTCGACTTCATCCCGACACGGGACCGGACTTTTTGGAGAAGCTGCTTGGCGGACCTGGCTCGGAACGCGGTGTCGGAGAACGGGTATGGGGGCTCTTGCACGGTGTTGACGACACCGAGGTGAAGGACGCCAGCGACATCCCGTCTCAAATCAGCATTGAAGACACTTTCAAGGGTTTGGAGAATATGGTGCAGATTGAGAACGAGCTACGGAAGATTTCCGCATCTCTTGTGAGACGGATGCGGACAGACTTGTTGACGGACGACTCCTCTCTAGATCCAGGAGGCCAGCGATGGATCGCCCACCCGAAAACGCTCCGTCTTTCCATTCGATCCTGGCCAACCGACGCGGCGCCCAACTTTCAGCGCATATCTCGCTCTCAGCCCCTCCCCAACTTCATCTTCAACCTCAAAGATACCCCAGAGTCCATCGCTGAGCGACTCGTAACCGAAATCCTCCTCCCGACGATGAAGAAATTCCATCCTGCGAATCACAAGTGGAACTTGCAACTCATGAATGTCTGTGTCGCCAATATGGCTGCCAGCGGAAGCGAGGCCGGCCCTGGTGTTGGGCGAGACATCTCCGTCATGTTCAAGCGGCAGGACGACGTGCTGCGGCAGTGGAGGATCGATACCGCAATCGTTGAAGACGAGCAGCCTGTTTCAGACGATGAATTCGAGGAGGCGGAGTTGATGGATTTTGGGACCGGAGACTCATGGGAGGATGACGAGGAGACGGCACGGTGTCCTTTATGCGGACATTGCATACCCCCTTTTGCCCTGGCTGCCCATGCTCGGTATCATGACCTGGGGGACTAATGCCGCAACAGAAAGCGTATTATGATCCTGTACTCATCGCAACATGTTTCTTCTTGCTTCTGGCCTAACATGTGTCATTGAGCGCGGACTTGGCGTTGATGGCGAGAGTCTTATTTTCAGGTCCTTACCTTTGTTTGGGCACAGTCAGACACTTCGGGCACTTGGCTCTATTACTTTTCATAGGTCTCATCGACGGGGGTTTGCTTACAAGATCTGCGGATCTTATGCTGAGAGTTCTATTGTCAGGGTCGTGGACGGTGATGAGCGGGATATCGTCTTCAGGTTCGAGGTCTGCCATTTCGATCGAGTTGTCTTTGGTCGCATCCTCGTTGTGTTGCTGTTGATGTCGTCTCCCGAGCAGACGGCGGTACCTCCTGAGGCAGTCAAAGAAGCGATCGACGATTCGGGCCATGGTTCTGCGATGTTGAATGCTGTGCGGTTTTGCGGCGGGTGGAGCTGATGCATGGATTCGTCCGTGTCCGTTTGCGAATCATGCCGGCAATCAGGTTTAAATGGTCCTTGGGGGGCGTTCCGGGTTGGAGCGGCAAGGTCGATGCAAGCCGTTGAGGTTCGAGACTGTTGGTCAGTTTGCGGCCCAAAACGAGAACCGTTTTGGTCTTTCAAGACTATAAAGTAGAGGGCGGGAGAAAATGAAAGAAAGAAGTCAAGTCTTGGATTTTGAACCCAGGCTTGGGGAGATAACCATGATCTCTGTATTTCAGCTGGTATATATGCTGTAACATACTGGGCATATTCAGTTCCATTTGTTTCGACTCTGTTGATGAGATAATTGGCAGTCCTTTCCTATAATATGAACCGTTCGTCGTCTCGTGACTACGTAGCATCACTAGGAAATCTCCGAACAATCGTTCTTGGCCTGGTCTATCCTAACTGACGCCAGACTGCCTTACCTTCCCATTTTGATGGCAGATAATTCTTGAACAACGGCCGTTGACTACCTACCTGTTAATCACAAAGAAACCTTGTCGACTGTCTTGATTGCTCAGGACGTTGCTGCAAAGATATTTCTCGCAAAGACGAGCACAACCTCGGACAGATTCTAGGACGCGGCAAAGGTACAAACAGACTTGACAGGGATCTGTACCCGTCTATCCTCCCGGTGAAGGATATATGCATATCACAACGAACAAGAAGCAGATACGGCCGAATCGCGTTGCTTCCGACTTCATCTGAATACACCGATATCGACAAAAATAGAGTTGGCAGCGGTACAACGGGGGGGCGGTACCAAACGGGACGGGACACAACCACTCGACCGGGTCTAGCTCTCCATTCCTGCCGGTGTAAAGCTAGGGGGAGCTGGAGCTTCCAGAAAAGGGCGGCCCATCCTTGCATTAGCGCCTGCAAGCATCCGCGGAAGGTGGCTCGGGGAGAGACGTTGCAGGCGGTAGGCGCCAATCAGACGACGCACAGCGCACAGAAAGACCCGCTCGGCGTCACCTCCACAGACCACTGGGGGCGGTTATCGATAAGATCGGTACCTACCCCGGAAACAGCGTCAGCGACCCTGGACACTGCACTGATGCGGTAACCGCGTACTGTACGCCAGAAATGCTGTCTGCGTGCAACATGACAGCTGACGTCAGGGGCCGCTGGACTAGTCTCAGCAACGCAGCGCAGCACGGGAAGCCGCAACTACAAACAGAGCTCCTGTCCCCGTTACTCGTTGCTCGCACGCTTCCCTTCCCGTGTTCCTGCTCCTGTCCTGCCCAGTGTTTGCTACCCCGTTCGTGATGGGTACGGCCTGAAACGAAATCCCCCCAACAGCCAGAGAAAGTCCAGTATCTCATTTCAAGTCACCGCCACCCTCAGCTTGTGGTTCCCAATTATAGTCATCTGTACTCTATCGTAATCTGGAACCGGTCCTTCCATTCGCCCTGTAGCCCCTATGCGGTATCGTTGGTGACGTGAGGTGCCGTCCTTGCTCCTTCCCACCTCTGGGTGTTGCCTACCGTATTAGTTGCTAGAGGAAGGGACCGTTCGAGAAATCGCCCGATATGGAAACCACCCGCTCAGCTTCGCCTTCCCCGGCAGTACCTGCCACGGGGAAGGCAGACACGCCTGCCGTGCAAAAGAAGCAGGAGGCAGCTTCGTCGCTGCCATCGCACAACGACCCCAGGAGTACAAACACAGATGCCCCTCCTCCTTCTGCCACCTCGCAACCATCTGACCCTGATCACAACATCAACACTTACCCACACTCGTCCAACGACTACGACGACGACCAATACAACTACACTTACTCTGACGAGGAGCACTTGGACACATCTTCTATTTGCTCCTGGGAAGAAGAAGAAGACGGCAACTGGGAACAAGACCCTGACAACGAAGACACCATGGGCGGCTCACGACGCCCCCACGGCCAACGTCGCCGCACCCAAACCGACCTCACCGGCGTCTTCTCTCTCGAAGAGAAGAACGAGATCATCAAGCTGGTCTCTGACGTTTTGGACAACATGAAGGATCAAATCAGCAACATCTTCCATTCCCCTCCCATCACACCGGCATCTACCGAGAACCCCCAGCACTCATGGCTGTCGCTTTCACTGCTCAAGGGCAGAGGCGCCAAGCCCACTCCCTCTCCCCAACCACAGCCCCAACTCGCCGGCAAGGAGAATCCCACCTCATCATCTGGCGGAGACGGTGCCGGTAAGACGTACGCTAAGGCCCACGAGATTGTCGAGAAGGAGGAAAAGGAGGCCATGACGCCCCAGCTGCAGGAGCTCAAGAAGGAGTGTCTCGTCGTCTTCACCAAGTGGCAGGGCAACGTCTTGCTACGCGTCAAGGACATCTCGGTCAAAGACCCTGACGCTGCCGAGGCCCCTGCCGCCCGTGGTGGTCGAGGTGGTCGCGGATCCCGTGGCGCTCGCGGCGATCGTGGTGCACCGCAAGGAGGTCGTGGCACGCCGCGCGGACGCGGTAGAGGCGGCAACCTCAGTGTCAAGACCGGAGGTGAGCTCGAACGCCTCACTTCATAGTCTTTACTAATAAGCTGCAGGCCCGCCAGCTAGCCGTCAGCCTGAGACCGACCCCTGGCTCATGCGGCGATTCCCTCCGATTTCCACAACCCTGTCTTCCCTTCCTGTTGAGCGTCGCAAGCTCGTCCTTCACACAGTTCTCCTGCTCTTGCTATCTCTGGAGCAGTACACCGCCTTCTCCCGCGTTTTCATGATGAGCCTCACATCCTCGCTCCATCTGACTCTCCGCACTTTTCAGGAGGATGAGGTCCGCGTCGCTCGTGGTCTCGGCAAGACCGTCTCAGAGGTAAATGCCGAGGAGGTCGTCGAGGAAAAGGCGGCAGAGAACAAGAATACTAGACGCTGGAAGGTCGGCCTCGCCGGAGCTGCGGGCGCTGCCATCATTGGCGTGACTGGCGGTCTGGCTGCTCCTTTGGTTGCTGCTGGCATCGGCACCGTCATGGGTGGTGTTGGATTGGGATCTACGGCGGCAGCTGGTCTGCTTGGAACTCTCTCCTCCAGTGGTGTTGTCGTCGGCAGCTTGTTCGGCATCTACGGCGCACGTCAGACGTCCAAGATGATGGACCAATACGCCAAAGATGTCGCCGACTTCGCATTCTTGCCGCTGCATGGTGAGATGAAGGATGAGTATCGCGACGCCAAGGAGATCCCGCCCAAGGACCGACGCCTCCGTGTTGTTCTCGCCCTCAGTGGCTGGCTGACCCAGAAGGAAGACGTTGTCAATCCCTGGCGTTGCGTCGGCCACCAAGGCGAGGTGTACGCCGTCAGATGGGAGGTCGCCAACCTGATGAATATGGGTAACTCGCTCGAGACTGTCATCAAGAGTACCGCCTGGAGTGTTGCCAAGAAGGAAATCATCACGCGTACTAGTAAGTCTTGCCCGCGTCAAGTAACCAGTATAAAGTGCTGACCTTCATAGTCTTTGCCAGTCTCATGTCGGCCATGTGGCCGATCGGCCTTCTCAAGGTCAGCAAGGTCATCGACAACCCCTGGAGTGTCGGTATGGTCCGAGCCGAGAAGGTTGGCATGATATTGGCTGAAGCCATCAGCCGGAAGGTCCAAGGCGACAGACCCGTCAGCCTCATCGGCTACAGTCTGGCTGCCCGCGCTATCTACACCTGCTTGATGGTCCTTGCTGAGCGTCGACAATTCGGCCTCATTGAGTCGGTCGTCATGATTGGCACGCCAGCTCCATCTGAGAGCCGCGTTTGGCTTGCGCTGAAGAGCGTCGTCGCCGGTAGACTGGTCAACGTCTACTCGGAGAATGACTACATTCTTGGTTTCTTATACCGCACATCCAATCTGCAGTTCGGCGTCGCAGGACTGCAACCGATCCAGGGCGCAGACGGTGTCGAAAATTACGACGTGAGCAACATGGTTAGCGGCCACCTGAGATACCAATACATGATTGGCACCATTCTCAAGAACATTGGCTGGGAGGACCTCGATTATGCCCAGATCGCGAGGGACGAGGAGACACTCCACCTCATGGACGAGAAGTACGGCCGAGACAAGAGCCAGAAGCCCACGTATGTCGACCCGGACAAAGAGGCAGTCCAGATTCAGGAGGAGGTCAAGCACAAGAACGACGCCAAGCTCGAGTCGAGAATGAGCAAGATGAAGATCCAGGATTAGGCTACGGGAAGCATCTTAGCTGGGATGATCGGTAGAGACATCGTTATAAAAATGGCATGGTTACGGGGGCGGAAAGGCGTGGATATTGGCATCATGCTTACTACAAGGTTAGCTTTGTTACAGGAGGAGTCGACGAAGTATACTGTAGTAACAACACGAGAAACGAGAAATGCAAATTTGTCTATCAACGCTTCTCACCGTGCATGTTGTATTGTGGGTATCATGACTCCTCCTTCTTGCTTTGAACGACAAAGTATTTGCCGGCCGTCCTCGACGCCGTCTCCAAGGGGTTCCAGTCCTCGACGCCTTTGGTGTCAACCTTGTTTCCACGCTGCCTCTTTGGTCGTTTCTTGTGGCCGAAGCGGACCTCCTTTCCTAGGGCTTCCGATAATTGCTGCAATCCTATCGTTGCTTCTGCTATGCCTTCGGTCGTCTCGTCACGTAGCGAGCGCAGAGGTTCCACGCCTGAGGTATCGACGCTCTGTACATCCCGCACAAAGTGAAGCTGTGAGTGTAGGGTGCGGAGCATAGCTGCCTCCTCTGCTTCGGTTTCGGGCAGTGGTAGAGCGGAAAGCCGCAGAAGATGATGCAGTTTCGATCGCGTGATTGGCTCCTCCGCTGTTGACTTCGCATCGTCGGACTTTGGCAAGAAAGACGCAACAGACCATGTCGGCTGGGCGAGGACTTGTTGAATTGACTTTTGCGCTGAGGGCCGGGCAGCGGATGTGGTGAATGCGCGCTGATGGCGGAGGACGGCGCTGCAGCGCGTGCAGAGGGAGCGCATCGTGTGCTTTGTCTGACGAATCGATTCCGGATGCTGTACGTGGTCTTTTGGGTAGCTTACGGGAAAACGTGGCAATTCGTCAAGGTCCGTATGGCATGAAGTCAAAGTAGCTTCGAGGCTCTGGAGAAATAATCTGGAGCTCTGTCGGTGCTCGGTGCAAACGACCCAGTACCTTGTCGTAGGTACCCCCAGGCAACCCCCCCACCAAGCCACTGATAGCGTCTTTCTAAGCCACAGTGCCCCGCGTCATAGTTCGCTGCGCTGAGTGGGCGAGACGTGCTGTTCAGAACAGGTCGGGTAAGGCAGAGGGGGGAGTCGTTCGGCTGCTGCAACACTTGACGCTGATGCCAGCGCACGCAACACCTCGAAACCTCCTTACGCAACAACATCACACACCGTCCGTCTCTGCACCCTTGCGACCTGTCCTTTCCGGCTCGCTCGCATCCCATTTAAATCGAACCCAACCCCGACTTCCGATCCCTCCGAGAGTTCTTCCATCGACAGTACGATTGCCGTAGATTGTTGATTTCCTTCGCAATCATGGCTCAGGACCCGCGGGCTCTGCTGCAGAAGGTGCGTTTGATGCATGCGTCCCCCCCGGAAGGCGTCGCCAGAGTGACGATGACCCGCCCGTGGGCGAGTAGTAGTAGGGGCATGACGTTAACGGAGAGAAACGCAGGCAGACAAGACGCTGTCGAGCGCCGGCGGCGGCTTCAGCTTCTTCGGTGGCCGTGAGGAGAAGTACCAGAATGCGGCGGATCTGTACATCCAGGCCGCGAACGCCTTCAAGATGCAAAAGCTCAGTCAGTATTGTCCCGCCCATCAGCATGCTCTGCGACCCAAGGACCGGCACTGACGAGTGTGACCAGACCGCGAGGCCGGCCAAGCATTCGAGAAGGCGGCTCAGGTCCAGACCAACAACCTCAAGGAGCCCGACGACGCCGCCAACACCCTCGTCGACGCCTTCAAGGCCTATCGTAAGGAGGATCCCGAAGCCGCCGTCCGCTGCCTCGACGTCGCCGTGAACCAGTACTGTGCCAAGGGCAACTTCCGCCGCGCGGCGGGACACAAGGAGGCGCTGGGCGAGCTGTTCGAGGTGGAGCTGGGTGATTCCAAGAGGGCTCTCGAGGCGTACGAGGCTGCTGCGGGGTGGTACGAGGGAGACAACGCTGCTGCGTAAGTCCCTTTCGCCTAGATCGCTGCGAAGGAAAGCTGCTGACCTAACCGGAAACAGGCTCGCGAACAAGCTCTGGCTCAAGGTAGCAGACGTCGCGTCCCTCGAGGGCGACTACTACAAGGGCATCGAGAACTACGAAAAGGTCGCGGCGGCGTCCATCAACAACAACCTGATGAAGTACTCGGTCAAGGACTACTTCCTCCGCGCCGGCATCTGCCACCTGGCGTCCGGCGACATGGTCGCCGCCCGCCGCGCCGTCGAGAAGTACACCGACATGGACCCCGGCTTCGCCCAGCAGCGTGAGGCGATGCTCCTCAACGACCTGCTGGCGGCCGTCGAGGCGGGTAACCAGGAGGAGTTCACAGACAAGCTGTTCCAGTACGATCAGGTCAGCAAGCTCGACAAGTGGAAGACGACGATGCTTGTCCGGGTCAAGAACACCATCGAGGAGCCCGAGGACGAGTTTGCTTAAGAATTTTGTTGTTGTAATGGGAGTTACTCTCTTTTTTTTTTTTTTGGGTTAAGGGTTGCTGGCAGGGTGGTCAAATGCTATTATATCGAACATTGAGAGCGGAGGTACAACAGGCTCCGGATACATGTGTTCGGAGGGTGAGGCATGATGTGCGTGAATAACGCTTCATGCAGTGAGCAGGTCCCTGGAGGGTCATACAACGACACCCAAGAAGAACCGTCATGGTGGTTTTCGTTTGAATAGAATCCACATCCAACCAATCCTCATTGATACACACACAGAGAGAGGCCATCTATCACCACGCATTGTGAAACATCTTGTACAGTCCGACCTGGAAGGTCTTGTGTGTATTCTCATTGTTTCGTCTTTTGGCTCTAATTGCGTGTAAAAGGTCAACCATGTCAGGACCGTCGTCCGCAATGGCAACCTTGCAAAAAATCCCTCCCGCTCACCAATGCTTTCTCTCTACCTATTTGCTTGCTCGATCGCAATTTCCTGCTCGACAACATGCAATTATCCGGAAATGGCTTCGGAATCCAAATTCCTGCTCGCAACTGGAGAAACAGTAACAAAGACTCGGCAAAAAAACTGAAAAAAGGACAACTTCTGGTGAGACCCCCTGGCCTCTTTTATCCCCGGACTCCCCCCTTATGCCGTTTGTGAATTTTGTACAGTTCTGCCTCCGGTCATTTATTAAACATACAGTCTCCCTATCGTACAGCTCCAGAAGCAGAAAGTGAGTTGGTCGTCAAATCGTGACCGGCGTGGGGCCTGGCCTGCGTCATCGCTGACCCTTTACTTTGGCGGGCTGCCCACCATGCTAGGCACCATCTTGCGCAGGAGGCCGCCTCTGCGTTGCTCGGGTCTCGGGACACCCTGAATAGCACGCGGCTCCCTCATGAGGGCGGGGTCTAGCTTGGTGGGAATCCGAGTGACGACGGTCCGGTACTCGCCCGGAAACTTGGCGTTGGGTACTGGTACCGAAGCAGTTCGCCACATGTGGTCAGAGGTGTCGCCCAGGTAAGTGGGGATCTTGAGCTTCGCAGGCGCAGCAAAACCCGAAGCGTTGCTCGATGCGCCATGTGACATGCGAATGGTCGACAGACGGGACAGTCCAGACGTCAGTGTGGGACGGCCTCTGGCCTTCTTGGCCATGATGATCTCGTCAAACAGACGAATGGACGCGTGGGTAGCAGAGTTAGTCTCACGCTCATGGATGAACTCGTTAAATGCTAAAGGCCGTTAGTGACAAGCAACGGGAATTTGATGCCGAAACACATACCTTGGGTTTCCCGCAACATGGTAGCGTACGGTTGTTGGTCGTACGGGAGACTCTTGATGTAACCATCCATGTCAAAGGCGTAAAGCTGGCCATTGCTCTTCTGTTCCCTGGAGGGGCGTCCGAGATGCTTTCTGTACGTGTACAGCAAGCTAGCGAGGCAACGGACAAAAGCTGCTCGGACGCGATCAGGATGGAACGCTTCGCTGCAGACGATCGAAACGTGTCCCAGACAGCGACTGTGGGCGAATCCACCGCAATGAGAGCACTTATAGATACCGTCACCCTCAGATCTTTCATCGCAGACAGTACAAGTGGACGATGAATCGTGGGCAATCCAGTTGAAGCAGTGACCTTCAACCCACATGGTCGTCTCAGTGTTCCTCACAGGCTGGATCAACATATTGGGCATGATGGTGGAGGCCGCAATGGTGGACTGCGCGTAGGTCGAAGGAGCATATCCGCCGTACGACGACTGCGAGTCAACCGAGATGGCAGAGACTGACATGCTCGGGTTGTGTCCGTTCAGGAACGGCAGGCTTGGTCGGTGGAGAGGCGGGTGCTTGTCCATGCCGAAAGACGAGCTGCGGCGGGACTTCTCGTCGAAATGGCCAGACTTCTTTTCTCTAAGGGTCTGAGCGAAGCCAGAGTCACTCCGAGAGACTGGGGTGGTCGGCATCGGTGGGAAGTTCATAGAAACCGGCGAAACCGATGACTGCGGACTGGTCTTTCCGGACTTGCTCGTATCAGGGCGGTCGGACTTGCCGTGGTCACCCCTGGAATGCAGGAAAGCATTGAAGATGGGAGGGCGCACGGAGTTGGGCGGTTCCGGTTCGCCAAATGACGAGGAGTTCTGTGTAACCCACTTGCCAAGGGAGCTAGAGCTGACGCTTGAGTTGAAGAGCGTATCGTTTTCTGCAGAGAAGGCGTCGTAGGGGAATGACTCCATGGCATACGGCGGAGGACCAACAGTCACTCCATACCGAATGTGGTGGGGTGCGGCCACATGAAGCAACGAGAGAAGCTTGCGGCGGTGCTGGCGGGGCAAGCGAACAGGCTGGGTGGTCGCATCAATCGTGTCCATGTCCAAGTCCACCAGCACATAGTCATCGTCCGGCAACTCAATCTTCTCGTAGCGTCTCTCGATGCCGACAATGTAGGGGCAGGGCGCATCTAGCGCGGAGAGAAGGCGCGCAGGAAGCACGGGAATAAAGATGCTCGCCCACTTAAGGGGATACAATAGATTCGCCAATGCATGGCACGCCAAGTGAAGCATGCCAGTGTGGGAAGAGATGAAGATGATGCGAGATTCGGACATGGCGTATTCGAAGAGGGCAACGATGTTCTCCATAGAAAGACATCGAAACAGGGCATAGATGTCGATGGTTCTTGCCCCAGGAATCTCGTTCGTGGCTTCCTTGCGACAGTACATTCGCAATTCGCGCACGCCGAGCTCAACCTGTGTCTTAGAGCTCAAAGGGCTGAACGCCTCAGTGCACAGATTGACGACGTAGCGCTCCAGCGGTTGCCAACGGCCAACCTTGGGAGAGCTTGGCGGGACTCGCAGGATTGCTCCATCAGTCATAGGCACCACAATGGCGCGCAACCACTCCTTCCAGAACGACATTCTTGTGACATCTCTGCCCAAGATGCCGTAGGCTCTGGGGGCCCAGAGACCGCTCTCGCCAGCAGTCAACCCGTCAATCTTGGATGCAGCACCGTGACGCAATGGTCTCAACATTTCTGTCATGAGACTGATCTTCTCCTCCACAGCACTGATTTGGTCATCCAGAGTATCACGGGCTGACGATCCGGAAGGAATCGTCGGCAGCTTCGCGAGCAGCTGCGACAAATGCGCACGTTCAGCCGCGAGCCTCACACCAAGACTGGCTGCCAACTCCCGCTCCTCGTTGGACATGTGACTCTGCCGCCACTGCTCGCATCGCTTCTCCACCTCGTCTGCAACCTCAGATGTTATCGCAGTCCAGATAATGATGGTGATACCATAGATCTTGGAGTTGTCGTCCGATGTCATCGTGAAACCGTGCCAGGTGGAACGGGGTCGGTCGTCC